ATGTGCTTTCTTATCTTCCCCCTTCCTCCCCGCCCATGATTTTGCAGAGGTCCAGGATTCAGGTGTGGCTCTATGAACAGGTGAACATGCGGATAGAAGGCTGTATCATTGTGAGTGTCATGTTATAGGCACTTTGCATCGTTAATTTGTTTTTCCCGTTCACAAGTTCCATTTGCAACTCCCCAAGAAAAGGTAGTACAGTGAAGTAATAACATTCCCCCCCCCCAACCCCCCCAGTTTTCCAAGCAGTCGTCTTACTCAGATCCATTTAATCATAGCATCATAGGACTGGAAGGGACCTCGAGAGGTCATCTAGGCCAGCCCCCTGCACTAATGGCAGGACTAAGTATTATCTAGACCATTCCTGTCAGGTGTTTGTCTGTGCCCCTTAGTGAAAGCAACTCCTGCCGTTGAGGCTTGAGACCAGGCGATTTTGTTCACTAACCACTTTTGTTGTTGGTTCTTAGGGTTTTGATGAATACATGAACCTGGTTCTGGATGATGCAGAGGAGATACACTCAAAAACAAAAGCAAGGAAACAGCTGGGTAAGTCTGCATGGTTTAAATGATTTATGGCACCAAGCTGCATATATGAACCTTATGTGCAGCAGCAATATAAAATACAGAGCAAATGAATAGCTTTGACTGAAGGATAGTGAAACCCATTGGGAAGATTCTTAGGTCTGCTATCTGCTGTAGGTTAACTGTGTTGGGATTAGAGAGTTGATGAATGTTCCATTCTGATTAGCTGTGTGCCAGAATCCAGCACTTCTCAAAGAGTGAGTGAATCCTAAAATGAATCTGAATCTTTAAAAAGGTGGCTTAATAAACAGCAGCTCTCTGCCCTCTCTTGGGTGTCAGGGTGACTGGAGGAGGCCAATCTAAACTCCATACTCCCATATCTATCTCTGTACGGTTGTATTAATTGGAAGTGTAATTTACCCCTTCACGTAATACTGAAGCTAGGGGTGACCCAATGAAATTAATAGGCAGCAGGTTTAAAACAAATGAAAGGAAGTATTTCTTCACACAATGCACAGTCAACCTGTGGAACTCATTGCCAAGGGATGTTGTGAAGGCCCAAAGTACAGCAGGATTCAGAAAATAATTAGGTAAATTCATGGAGGATATGTCCATCAATGGCTAATAGCCGAGATGGTCAGGGACAAAATCCTATTTACTGGGTGTCCCTGAACCTCTGACTGCCAGAAGCTGAGACTGAACAACCGGGGATGGATCACATTTTTAATTGCCCTGTTCTGTTAATTCCCTCTGAAGCCTCTGGCAACAGCCACTGTCGGAAGGCTGGATATTGGTCTCCATGGACCATTGGTTTGACTTAGCATGGCCATTCTTATGTTTTTAATTAATTTAAATACAACAGTCCTAATACCCTCCCCACGCACTCAGTATGTCTACACAACAAATTAAAACCTGTGGCTGGCCCATACAAGCTCCCAACGGCTCGGGCTGCAGGGTTGTTTCATTGCTGTGTAGGCTTCTGGGCCCGAGCTGGAGCCCAGGCTGTAGGACCCTGCGAGGTGGGAAGGTCCCAGGGCTCAAGCTGGAGCCTGAGCCCAGACATCTACACAGCGGTGAAACAGCCCCAAAGCCCTAGCCCTGTGAGCCCAAGGTGGCTTGCATGGGCCAGCCACGGGCGTCTAGTCGCTGTGTAGATATACCACTGTCACCTTGTCCCATCACCCTTCTGAGTCAGTACAGGACACCCTTTTGCTGCTGCCATCCCCACCATGTTCGGATTTGGTATTCACCATTTGCCAAGTACCAAAGATAAACAGTGAATCTGAAAACAGTGGTGTCTTCCGATTCCCTGCCAGGGTGGCTTTTATTGCGATACACTCTGGTTTATTTTAAGGAAGCAGAGTACGGGGCTCAAGATAGTACTGATACCCTGCAACGCAGCGAATCTCAGATATATCAGTCATACACTGTGGAGAGAGGATCACCATAGATTTATAGGCTTGTAGCTCTGTGCTGCATGCAGAGGGATAGTCTATGTATTATCTTAATTTACTGTACTGAAAGGAAACTTCTGATCTCTACTGCAGTCTTTCCCATGGTAAGTGTTAAATAGAAAGAAGCACTATATAAGCACCATGCAGACCTCTTTTTGGAAGCTTTTCTGCATGTTAGACATTGCATGACCTAAGGATAATCTCTCTAACTGCCATTTCCGTTCTCCTTTGTGTTGCAGGTCGGATCATGTTAAAGGGGGACAATATTACTCTTCTACAAAGTGTTTCTAACTAGAACTTGTCATTCAGAGGGTGGAATGCACTAAAGAGTGTTCCAAACTAGAATTTTCAGTTAATGTGTGGGGTGGACTAAACATTATTATAAACAAGAGTCACTGTGCTGGGAAAGTGGATGGCGTTTTGAAAATAAAAACTCCAAATGAGCCTGATTTGAAAAGAGTAAAAACTTAGCTGATATCTTTCCCTACCTTTGATAGTAACATTTTTTACATTGCAGTACTTAAAAATTGTAACTGTGAACTTAAATTTATTTGATCTCATGCCTACATCCCTCCCTCACTGTTTTTGTTGGGGGAAAATATGTAATCTGAAATAAACCTTTTTTCTTAAAATGGATCTGTTCAATTTCTGATAGGGGAAAAAAATCTTTGTACGTTCTGGAACAATAACAATGCACCATCTGAATTGTTCAGTAGAATACCAGAGCCACATGCAGTCTCTAGACTGTAGAGATCCAGTAAAATTAGGATGGAATTTATCTAGGAACTTAGCATTACTATTCTCCACCAACATATCTCAGTTGCGTGAAGAGAACTTTAACTGATAAAACAGTATAAAATTTCTTGAGAATCTACATAGATGTACTTGTTGGTAAAGGATTATTTCTACAGTTAAGTATGTTAATATGCTGGGAAGGCCTCCAGGAATTTCATCAAAGCATTTAACAAACAATGCTCAATCCTCACACTTGCCAGTATAATTAAGTATTATCCTGTTGTTTGAGTGGGGAAATTTAAGCAGAGAGGCTAAGTAGTTGACCCAAGATCACAGAGAGGGAGTCAGTGTCAGAGCCAGGATTAAAACTCGAGAGTTCCTGTGGTCAGATCACTAAACAATTTGGAAATATCTGAGACGTTTGGGTTTTTAATATTTTCTTCAATTTTTAATTTGGGAGTAATGTGCTGTCTGTATGGGGATCTGCTGGATGGTTTGCTTGGGGATCTGTGAGATGGATGCATTTTCTTTTACTCTTATATGCTTCCTGGCTCAGATACCACTATTAGACCCCTTCTGCTGCTTTTCCAATTTAAACAAAAAAAAGTGTAGGTCTGATACCTCTGTGATGGAGGATTTCTTGGCGCTTGTTTTGAGGGCTTGATTTGAGAGCTACAGTAACAATCATTTAGACTGGAGTAATTTAGTCAGCATTCAGTTATCAAAACATAGTTTTACATATAGTTGTTATCCTGCAAACCAGTGAATTCAGAGAAATTCAGAAGAAAAAAACTGCCCCTGAACATGGAAATATAACACATACAGTTCAACAGTGGACAGTTAAAATACCTGTAATCTATTTTGGCCCAGTCTACGGCAGGGATCATTGAGAAAAATGTTCTCCCTTTCAAGTTTAAAAAAAAAAAAAAAAGCCATGCATTTTTTTTTTTTTTCTGCTGCTATCAGCTACTTCTGTCTCTCTCTCTCTTATTATTCATCCCAGACATGCAGAAATACAGCAACTCAGGCTTTTCTGGATTGTGTACTATTATTTGTCTATCTTGTTTGCATCTGAAAGAATTTTGATGCAGTTCCAGCATAGGTACTTTCACCCATTTCACTAAGCTATTCTACAGAGAAATTGTAACACCTCTTATCAGGCTTAAAGCTATGATGATCGAATGGAACATGTTACCACAACATGGTAGCTGAAACAAAATCAGGCATACTACCTGCTAACAAAAGAATTGGTATTTTTGTATCAGTTTTCATGAGTTTCAAAGTGTTCTGCACAAACAGTAACAGAAAGGTACATGTCTTGTGCAGACACAAATGTTAGACCATCTGTGGATGAACGCAGTTAAACATTGCCAAGGACTAGGTATGGAAGGCATAGAATAGTAACTGGGTTCCCCTGTGTCTGCTTTACATGGATCCTCAAGATGCTCGTTGAAGTTTTACAGAACAGTAAATAACTACGGGATTCTCTCGATTAATAGTTATGGGGCTACAGTTGCTGGGTATTTATGGTACCTCACGGTGCCTGCAAATTCCACCTGATTAACTAGATGCAGGTGCAAAGGCAAATCAGGGCCTTGAGATTAATCCTTATGCCTAAAATATTTCAGCTCCGTGTTTCTGAAGCAATATTTTTTCTCTCCAAATATGTGAGAAAAAATGTCATACAAGGATAAAAGGGCAGTGTGAAATGTGGAGATCAGAAAAGGATATTTACCAGAGGGGGGAGAGCGTAAAGATGCATGCCATGAGTCCAATGAATGTAAGGTCAATGAAATAAAAAATGTCTCAGTGCTCATAAAGGGGTCTATCCCTTTCCAAAAAGAATGAGGAGTACTTGTGGCACCTTAGAGACCAACAAATTTATTTCCAGTCGCTGTTGCAGAAAAGTAGACTGGTAGGAGAAACAGCTCTCTGTTACAAGCAGTGCTGCTTCCTGCTCCAAATCACGCATTTCAAGATGCTCTCAATGCTGCATGCCGTTCCTCCACTGCTTGATGCTATCAGACTGATCCTGTATCGTAAATTCATTTGCAGTACTCCAATGATGAGTGGAAGGAAGTCTAGACTAATCATAAGGCATGTCATAGCTGATGATAAACATTCTACCAAAATAGACTGATTGTATTGTAAGTGAGCTGCAGGGCTAATTAGAAGCTTCCTCAGAGGGAAGCTGTGAAAAATGCAGAAACCCTGTATTGGAGTCTGCACATAGGGGATCTGGTCCGTGAGTGGGGCTTCTAAGGCACTAGTGAAATACCTGCCCTTATAAGGGACTTCTCCACATCTGTGAGAATGGTACAAGTCTTCACAATTGTACCTTGTTTATTTCATTGTATGTTAATCCAAAACCCCTCTTCTAATTTTTTTAAACCAAGAGCTGTATACAGCCAGAGGGTCGTGTCTGTGTCACAGAGTACTGGATTGGGTGTCTGGGTTCTGAGTTTTATTTTTGGCCCTGCTAGCTCACTTGCTGATGATATTGGGCAAGTCAAGGCCCCACGTTGTGCCTCAGTTTCCCCCTTTCTAAAATAGAAGTCAATAGTACTTACCTTCCTCAAGGGGTGGAGTGAGGTATAATTGTAAAGTGCTTTGAGCTCTTGTAGAAATGAATTGGAGAATATCTATCTCAAATTGAGATTGAGCTCTCGAGGGTAAAACCTGCAGGTTGAAACGTGGCCACAGTCTTGGACTACAGAGGGCGCTGCTGCCCCTAGCAACACCCTCCACCACAATTGCAAAGTGTCATAAGCCTCTGCTGGAACATAGAGTTCTCCAGCATTCATACGGCTTTATTGGCTCCAAAACAACCTGGAAGAAAGATAAAGCCGGGCTGTAGAGTGGGGGGCTGCTCTCATCCAGTACAATAGCCAACGAGTGGGCCTGCCTATTTCTCACCCCCACACCTTCTACAATGCCTGTGTTCCCTGAGAACTGACGTGACCCTGCCTCGGAGAGGGATGAAGAACGGAAGGGTCTGTTTTTGACTGAGCGAGTGGCAGGCAGAAGGAATAAGGTAGAGTGAACTCTTACAATTGGGCTCTGTGTTTAGGAGGCTCCTGTTGCTTGGCTTTCCGCTCTCTTGAAGCCTGTTGTTTGCTTTGCAAGTCATGTTTTTCCGTAACGTGCAAATTCCTTTCCACCGAGCAGAGGTGGGTAAAGACGCCTTCCAAGGAGGATGCACTGAGTGGTGTTAAGGTTCCTGAAATGTGCAGTTAACTCTGAGTGCCGTGGGGTTGACGGATTATTGCAGTTGAATGCCCCACTGCAGGGAGCAATTGCGGTGCTACAGAGCACACAAATCTCTAGGTAGAAAAGTGCTAGTAATGGAATTTGTCAGAGAAACTTTTCTTGCCCCAACCAGAGCTCACATGCTACAGAAAAATCCAAGAGCCAACCTCAAATAACCTGGTCCCTTTGTAGAAATAGCGTTTCCAACCTTTATTTGTTGGAAACAAACAGTTCAGCGTTATGAATGTAGGTGGCATGATACAAGCTAATTGAGAGGTGGTCTCTGCCCCGCCGAGTTTAACATCTGAGACTACAGCATTAACTTTACAGAACAATCACAGCCTGCTCCCAGCAAGGAGCCACATTCCCTAGCAAACACTCGTGCAGTGTGTTTTTATTAAAGATGAAGCTGGCACGGGGTTCAGGTTAAATAGGAGTGCCCTTGTTTTGTCCATGGCTACGGTCCTGTGTTCTGAAGTAATGAAATCAAAAGCATTCCAACCCTTCCAGTTCATGGTCTAAACTCGATTATCCTAACACAGACCCTTCCTTTAACGGGATCTTGTTTGCGAGATCTCTGCTCCCTTCTGTGATTACAAGGGGCTTCGGTGCACAGACGGCCTCTTCATTTAACAGACCTTCTTGTTCCCAATTTCTACTGCATTTAACCCCTTGACTCAGGGGAAGTTCGTTCCTTTTAGGAACGTGGTTTCTGTGGAAAGCTGTGTTTTCGTCTAGTGGCACTATACTTATGGTTCTTCCATTTTAAACGCTGCTTTTTTCCAAGAGACTCCACTGGGACGAATGTTTTCCTGCCCGATATAAGTCAGAATTAAATCTGTCTGCTGGGGGGGGAGGGCGTTGTCATTTGTGTGAAGGATAAGCTTTATTTTCACACAGACTCTCAGTGGGTCATTCTTTGCCTAGATGGTTATTTAAAATGAGTTTCACTGTGGCTCTTTGATATGATCCCTGGATTCGCACAGAGGCTTTCGTATGTGACTGAAAACAAACCCATGAGCTGTTCGGATGCTAAAAATCTCATTAGCGTCAGCGGAAAGACTCAGGGTTGTTTCCTAGAGTAATTGCTTGTTGTCCATATGCTCATATTTGAAGCCAGGAAATGAATGCCGGAGCATCATGCCAATGGGCTCTCTGGGTAAGAGTGCGTGTGCTGGTGCCCTGTGCTGCTGTTTGCAGTGGGATCAACCCCAAGGTACAAGGGCAGAGGCTTTGTGTGGCTGGCTGGCTGCCTGCTGATCTTGGATTAGCTCCACCATTTACACCTACAGCCCCCTAGGGAAGAAGAATCCATTAGTTTAGAACCAGGCGGTGTCGGAAGGTCAGAAAGGATCCTGAACACTGGGGGCCAGTGCTTTGTGCAGCAGTCTGGCCTGTCCCAGCCAGGTACCTGCTCACAGCAGCCATGACACAGTGAGCAACCGTAAAACGTGTTGCGGTGATGATTCCTGAAAGCCCCATGCATAGGGTCCTAGGGCCTGACTCATCCTGCTTTGCCTTGCTGCAAACCCAGAGGCCTGATTTCTGCTCCTCAGATGGGCTCGTTGTCCCAAAGAAACGGACCGTGGCAGTCGTTAGTGTCCCCACTCTGTGGCTGGATAGACAGGGGGACCTGGAGAGGTGGGTT